AAACTCGGAGATGATCGATAGGTGCGTCGATAAAGTACTGAACACACAAAACAGTTGTGTGCGTGATAACGCCATACGACTGCTGATGTCCTCGAACGAACTTGCGCAATATTTCCGCGTTACCGTTTGGAAGAAAGTTCGTCAGTTGATTGCAGATATCGATTTGGAGAAGTTAGTTGATTTCATTTTGATTCATTCTTTGGTGTTTTGTTGTTAGATTTGTAAACCTCTTTTGTTGGAAATTAATTTGTGTCTTTGTTTGTTTATAAAGTGATTTATTTCATTAGCTGGTTTGGAAACATGAAATTGAGGCGTGCACTGTATGAATTATATTGCGTTTTGATACGAAATGAATGAGTTGACAATCAATGATGAATATTCGCCGATATATTCGTATGAAATATTTATTTATTTTAATATAAACAGGTATACGGCAATAACACAACGAGAAATTGCCATTTATCACACAGCCGATGGCCAACTCTACAACTCAGACGTTATCGAGCAGAACAGCGAAGAGGCGCTGGAAGCGAAGAACGTTAAACGTGAGAGCAAGGTTTGTGTGGCACTGGTTGAATGTTGTGACCAAGCTGATCGCGAAAACAAGCTTTTTACCTCGAAACGAACGTTTGAATTGCGCTCAGTGCAAGCAAGATACATTCAGCGATGAAATAATTCAGTATTCAAAATGCTGTCAAATAATTTTTGTTCGTTGTCCGAAACATTGAGCTCAATGATCCAGACAGAAACACTGCTTTAGGTTTCCAGGATAGAAATAACTTCCAATGGAATTCCTCGAAATTTGCACTGTGTAAATTATATTACCATTTTATATTATACATTGTTGCTGCTATGAATCATCGATCCAACTATTATTTTAAGGCGTACAAATTCAAAGAGCAAGTTGCTGAGGTGGAGCTGAGAAGAGAATTGGCCAGAAAAAGGCGACAGGAAGGGAAATTAACCGAGCGGCAAAAGAAGGCCGTTGAGGCGGAAATACAAGCAGAGCGAGTATGTTCGCTTACTTCATTGATTCACTCAAATTGCAATTGATCACTAATGGCCAACTCTACAACGTTATCAAACAGAATTCATTCTTACGTACTTCTTCCTTCATTCATCGTTCTAATAAAAATGTAAATAATTGAGGAATTTCGAGCTGCATTGCGTGGATTGTATGAGGATTGTGTTAGTCGATTGGACGTGCTGAAGGCAGCGATAAACGGTAATCCGAATGGCTCGATGACCAATATGGATTTATTATTCAATGTTCTCATTCCAATGCTCAAATCACCATTGATTTCCGAAGCGGTCGTTGATACGTTTCGTGCGTATCGTAACGCTGCATTCGAACCATCAGATGACTATTTGCGTTAGTATTTATTCGATTATCATTTTGTTATTTTTATTGTTATTTGTTCTTTTATCTCAGGTATTATTGCTATTGTCATTATTTTGCTGTTCTCAGTTCTACATTTCATTTTGTTTTATTTCAGCTTTTCAACAGTATAAGTCGTGAAACTTTTTTATTCACAATCAACAATATTGTTTAATTTAGTGTGATTGAATAATGCTGACTGATTGCAGACGAACTAATCCTACACACAACCGTACGTGCGTATGATTCGTATTATTTGGATGGCGCGTGGAGTGAAGAAGCATTCGCGAATCAACTTTCAAGAACTGTTGCGATGCTTTTGGGTAGATCACTAGTTGCATTTATTTATTAATTCACATGTTCGTTTCGGATAGCTTTTTTTCAGCTGAGGAAAAATTAGTGGTTGAAGTTTTTGTTTGTGATGTTTGTAAAGATTTTTAATTTGATCAATAACAGTGATATAATTGCAGATCGTTGTGTGGCTATACCAATGTTGGTGAATGGTGAAGAGGAGGGTATCAGTGGTGATAGCGCTGAAAACGATCTCTTGGCAGAGCTGGACGATGAGGATACAATTAACTTATTGAAATTATCCTTCTCCATTCCACTCATCGATTCAATTCTTCGTGAACCCAAAAATCCGTACGCAATTCGACTAAACGCCGTTCAGTTCGTGAAAGCTGCGCTCAGTGAACGCTTCATTAAGGTTTCTGCTCTATTCTCTAATAAATCAATGCCAGATTAATGATATTGATACACCGCTCGAGCTTTCGAGCGAAACTTTCCTCCGCAAATGGGATCCGAACCCGCAACGTACCGCAATTACCGGTTACGTTTGCTACATTCGAAAATCACTGAACGCACAGCAATGATGAATGGCTTTGCCTTTCTCAAAATTTCTGCTCATCGTGTTTCTTGTGCGAACTTTTTAGTATTGTTACGTGAATGATTCGATAGTTGTTTTGTGTTGTAAACGATCACCTGTGTCGCGATGAATAAGCAACTGAAAAAAAAAAGAAGAAGAAAGCGCAAATAAAGAATGAAAAAATTCAGAACAATGAGGTGTGCTTACTGCCGTTAACGCGTTTATGCACGATGCTGCTGAATGTGCTCGAAGACGAGTCGAGTGAATTGTCGCAGTTGGCATCCAGTTCACTTCGCAGTTTGTGTGAATTAATCAACGATGCATCTGATAAGAACGATAGTATGATTGAAATGTTGACGTTGATGATTTCCAAGCTAACGCTCAACAAACCCAACATTCGTGAAAATGTTCTATCGGTATGTGTTCAACTATTGCTGTTTCTTTGATTATTTTGGTGTCGAACATTTTTGTTGATCGGTTTTCTAAACGGTATCAAATCACTGTTTAACTTTGTCTTTGACTACTGATTGTGGTTCATCGAGCAGTTNCTTCGAAAATTAGTTTAATGGCTGCCGGTAATTTTTTGTGTTGAAGATATTGTCAATACCAGTGGATCTGTATGAATATGCGTTAGCAAATGCACAATACGAGGAGTTTGTGGATTTGCTGATAAGGCGATTGCTGATCGCGATGCATGATCCGAATGAGGATTGCGCTAAATTGGCTAGTGTCATATGGCACCAACAAGATCTGCAGACTAATACGTTAGATTTTAATTTGTTTTCACTTGTTATTGTCGAGTTTTATGAGGATGAAAGCTCATTAATTTGTCTCATTCAACGACACAATCAAAGAGAACACAAATTCGGTTCTGTGACGATTCCAACTGATCAGTTTTTTGGCAGAAGTAATGAAAAATCGAAGTTTTCAGGGACTTATGTTCGAAAGTGCTGGATGATGTGGTTAACGAAGAGGAGTTTATGCGCAAATCGGCATCGTTAACTCTTGAGACACTCATCGGTGAATATCCTCAAAAACTGGATCTTGCTCTGTTGAAACTGAACGCTTTGTACAATGAGCTAAGCGAGGTCAGTAGTCGTTGTTGTTATGATTATTTTTAGTATAATATTAGACATGTTGTCATTATTGCTTGCTGTTTTCATCATTGTTACTTCTCATTACTGTCGCCTCCAATTTTTTCTCATTAAAATTGGATTAGGATAGAATTCGTTGTGGTTGAAATTGAGGTAATCGCTGAGTGAGGAGGTTTGAATAAGGTCGATGTTTTATTGCTGGATAATGGTCAGTGAAAAGTTAAGTTGAGTGGTGCTGTGATCGACGATGTTGGTCGTATGATAAGCGAGCCAGTGGATCAGTTCGCGAAACGATCGGGTGTTGGTGAGGCGTTGCTGCTGCTCGCCGATCATATACCTCAATCTGAGGTGATGACATTCGTCAAAGTGATCATTCCAAGAGGTTTGTGCGATCGTAACGCTGACTGCCGAGAAGTGATGCGAAATGCTGCGATGCAGGCCATCAAAAAGGTTGTTCATTTTTCAAATTCTCTTCGGTGATCTGTTCAAAATTAATTGCTTTCACTACTTAATTGAGCATCAAGTATTTATTTCATGTGCCTGGTAAATACGTTGTGGTGTTAGTCTTTCGTTGAAAAAATATGATGTTAGTATTTCGTTCGTTGTAGAAGCAGTGTCCTATTGGATTTATGCAAAAATTTCATGTGCTTTCACGAATTACAAAATCAGAAATTCTATAAAGCAGACAAATTTATCAGTCATTGTATTTTTTAAATCATAATGATATTAGGTTGGAAAATGATTACGTGAATAAAACAAATGTAAAGAATGAAAAAAGAAAGTTTTCAGTATGGTGAGGTGTGTATGGATGACTTGTTACCATTCTTGGAAGGTCTGCTGAATTCAACACCAGACGGACGAGAACATGATAACTTGAGACAAGGACTGGTGCTGATGCTGGGCACTTTGGCCAGACATCTCGATCCTTCGAACGACAAAGTCCGATCGATCACTGCACGTCTCATTGAAACTCTATCCACTCCGTCTCAACAGGTTCCAAATTTGAAACCTCCTCACAGCGTTTTTTCCAGTTTTGAATTCAGCGAAATATTTCTCTTATTAGAATTTACTTTACGCATGTAGTATGTAATAAGTTAGTAGGTGCACGAGATAAAGTCAAATTTTCTAGTGATAAAACAGTTTTTTGTATGCAGCAAAAAATTCATTCGTGAAAATGTACAACTAGGTAGGTATGGATATTGTTGATGTATTATGGAACAAAAAGGAAGGTTTCGATTGATTTTACAGGTACAAGAATCAGTATCAAAGTGTTTACCACCCTTAGTGCCAGCTATCAAGGATAACGCCAAAGAATTGGTGCGTACTTTGTCGTGTCTATTGATCGAGGCTGATTCGTACGGTGAACGACGAGGTGCTGCGTATGGCTTAGCAGGACTTGTGAAGGTAAATTCGCGTTTATTTGTTGTGAAATGACCAAATTTTGAGTGACGAACCTCTTGAATTGAAATATATAAATGCAGAAATTGCTTTCATCTCGATGAAAACGTTCGATTTGAATTGTATTGGCTAGTGATATTGACAACTGATCAGTATGCAATCAAAATGCATTTCATTCGGATTGTTTCGGTCTAAACCAATAGCTGTTATTGTGTGTTTTGAATTAGGGAAAATTGTTTTTGTTCCGAAATAGAAATTGGTTATCATATGGAATTGAACGGAACGAGAGCATTGCAGTGTTAATTTGTAGGGATTGGGAATGTCGGCAGTTCGAGAGTTGGAATTGATAAAGATGATTCAAAACTGTTTGGCGAATAAGAAGAATTCGAAGCATCGTGAAGGTGCACTGCTCGCACTCGAAATGCTCTGCAGGTAGGTTATTGGTTGGTCGTTATGAATTGTAGTGTACGATTGGACCGATCTTGAGTCTGTAATGGTGATACATATTGTTGTATTCGAAGTAATTAGTTATCTGTTTTTGTTAGAAATTCAGTTTTATTCGGAAGAAAATTATCAGAAATTATTCAGAATCAATAGCAGAATGTGAAAGTTGAGTGTACGAGAAATCTGCATCTTATTTCAAATATTGGTTCATAAGTAGAAGAAAGTTGATTGCGATGAATGTGTATCGATTATAGCACGATGGGTAAACTGTTCGAACCGTATATAGTGCAAGTGTTGCCGTCATTGTTGATTTGTTTCGGTGACTCGGATGAGAACGTGAGACGTGCGGCGGACGATGCTGCACGTGCGATGATGGCCATGTTGTCGGTGCACGGCGTTAAACTTGTTCGTTTTTCGCATTTTGAAGTTGTTGAGCTTTTAATCTTTAAATTATAAATATTGGTTCGTTTAGTAAATAAATGGTGGTTATGGCATTCAGACCAATTCGTGTGGATACTGCAAAATGAAACAGAAAAATTGTGATATCATATAATTTAATGGGTT